ATAATCCTGGCATGGGCCCGAATGCAACGATAAATCGGTGGATTGAACAGATTCTCATGTTCCATTTCGAGTTGAAACATGTAATCGGCAAGACCTTTACGCCAGATGGACTCTCTAGACGAGACAAAGTACCGGGAGATGAAGAGTATGAGAATACCGATGATGGACCCGAGTTGGTGAAGCCAGGTGTGCATAAAGATTGGGATTATTCGATTCCTCAACCGAAGGAGTATGATGATTTCAAGTCGGAAATTGACATGAGAGGTGGATTCTACTTCGGAGCGTTGGATCTCGATGAGCACGACACAATGGAGAACGAAGCCTGGAGGGAGCATGGTCAACTTTGCTTGGATACCTATGTGGAATCAATGGATGAGGCAGAAATTATCAGGGACACTTATCGCAGAGAAGGAATTGAGATGCCACAGTACATTTCATCGTTCGTGCGAGAGCCTGAGAAACTCCTACCGAATTCAGTGTTCAAATGGGATGCTAAGAAGAGGGAACCATATCCTGAAGAGCATCGGACGACAGAAGGAGTACGCGCGGATGAAAAACTCGAGTTGGTTGAGAAGTGGCTTCGGAAATACCAAGAAGAGACCGACTGGATTCACGGATCGGGCGTTCGAAGCGTTGATAAAATACGCTCGGAAGTTCTTTCTGAGTGAGAAAGGAAGGCTTTTCCGTCGAGATAAGGATGGGATGCACAAAATCGTTGTTAAGAAGGAGCATAGGATGTACGCGATGCGTTCTGCACACGATAGTTTGGGTCATCGAGGAGCGTATGCAACGAAATCCTTGATTGAAGTCAGATTATGGTGGCCTCAGATGGATCGAGACGTATCTTGGTATGTGAAAACGTGCCATATGTGTCAAGTTCGTCAGAGTACGATGATTCGAATACCGCCTATACCTACGAAGACTCCGAGCTTGTTCCAGAAAATCCATACCGATGTGATGGTCATGGGAGCGACTTCAAACGGACACAAGTTGGTCATTGCGGCGAGGGATTCATTGAGTAGATGGCTGGAAGCTAAGGGCTTGAGATCAGACACGGCGTCGGCGATGGGATGTTCTTACTCGAGAATATCATCTGTCGTTGGGGTTGTCCTGCTGAATTGGTGACGGATAATGCGCCCCAGTTTCTCGCGGCTCTTGAGTGGCTCGGAAACAAGTATGGCATTACTGGAATCAAGATTTCACCCTATAATTCGAAGGCAAATGGACCTGTGGAGAGTGGACATCGAGATATTCGACAGTCGATTGTGAAAGTGCGCTGGTAACCCTAACAAATGGTTTTATTTCTTGCCTCAAGTTACTTGGGCGGACAGAATCACCATTCGGAGAGGATTAGGCTGCTCACCCTATTACGCTGCGACTGGTTGTCATCCGATTTTGCCATTCGACATCGTGGAATCGACATGGCTGGTCGAATACCCAGGGAAAATCATCAGTACCGCTGAGTTGGTTGGATATCGAGCGAGAGCGTTGGTGAAACATCGAAGTCATGTTCAGGAGATGAGAGATCGAGTCTCAAAGGAGAAGTTAGAAGCTGTTCGACGATATGAGCACATCCATGCTGCTACTATCAAAGATTATGACTTCAAACCTGGGGATATTGTCTTGATTCGCAACACTCGCATCGAGAAAAGTCTGGACAAGAAGGCAAAACTTCGTTATTTTGGACCAATGGTGGTTGTTAGACGGACAATGGGTGGATCTTATCTAGTATGCGAGCTAAATGGAGCTATGGTACCAGGAAAGATTGGCGCATTCCGAGTAATACCCTATGAAGCCAGGGAGAAGATTTCTTTCTCAAAAGACATCGAAAAGATGATCGACATGTCAAAGGAGGAACTGGATGAGCTCGCAGAAGGCCGAGAGGATGTGGAAGGAACGGATTTGCAGTTTGGAGACATGGATCTTGACGACGAAGAGTCAGAATCTGAGAGCGAAAAGTCAGATGACGACGCTTAAGGATGAGGATTGCTTCAATCGGAGAAGGAAAAGTGTCACAACGCAAGAATACATTCGTTCGAGGTGTGAAGACATAGTACAGTTCAAGTAACGACCGAACGGCTGATCTGGAAAGCCTTGGAAACGAGTGTGGGGGATATATAGTACTATGGGAGAAGGGATTTCGATGGGCAGTAATGAATTTACTTGCGGCCGTGGGAAGGACCGTTGGGAGTTGCGAGACGAGCATTTCCAGGCGATGATGGCCAAATACTGAGACGGATCGCTGACGAGGAGAAGTCAGAAATCGAGCACTATGACGAGACTGAGAGGGACGGACGGAAGTTTGCTATCAACCTTCATGTTGCGGTCCTTCGCGAGGTCGAAGAGTGTTTGGTAGCGACGGCGACTACTACTTAACGAGTCACGGGCATATGCCATACGCTGGACAGCGATGAGCACTTGCTGCTGAGCGAGTTCGAGGCAGGCGGTCAGCTGCTTATTGGTGATCCGGACTTCGGTTCCTTGTGCGAATTGATCGAGAAGTTCTTGAATGGTCTTGTACTCGAGATCAGCAGGAGCGGAATCGTCAACCGGATAAGGATTGGTCAAAATCTGGAAAATTCAAGTCAGAAACTTCAAATCTTGTCAAGGAAAAGTTACAATTCCGGCTACGGCAGCCGGGGGATCTGCGAAGATGCGAATCAGCGATAGAAGGGACATCGGACAGAGTTTACAGACGGTTGGGAGGTCCTTGGGGTCTTTCTTCTTGAAAGATAAAGAAGAGATCGGCGCAGGGGTTTTGGTGGACTCGTCTATGAGCTCGGGAGAACTGGCCTTGTTGCGCTTCTTCTTAGAGGGACTCTTGTCGGTATCGCCAGAGCCTTCCTAGATAAGAACGCACCGAGTCAGGGAGATTGACGATGATAACGTTCGACTCAGAGTCGAAGAAGAGAGAACGAACCTCTTCTTCTTCATCTTCGGGTTCAGGGGAACGCTGTCGCTGGAGTAAATCAACGTTCGAAGGAATATTCGGCAAGGATAATACCTTGTGAGACTGGCGGTTGAAGAACGAGTGTTCTGGAGTGATGATGAGTTGCGGAGGAAATCCTCGACGGAGAAAAGTGAAACCGGAGTGTTCTTGGACGAAGATGTCTGTCACTGATAAGATAGTGTCGCTTCCGCTTTGGGAAATGATATTACCTTTTTGGTCTCAGGGGTCTTTTTCTTGGATTCGTCCGCTTTGTTGCGATGAGCCACGAATGTGCGTGCAGACGCGTCGATATGCTGCATATGGGCGATACAAGTGTTGGTGTCGCGGAGATGTTGATCGATTTTGGCGGTCCACTTGCCGTCGTTGCGAATATTGTTCTGAATCGCATGGAGTTTTTGAAGCGCATGGGGAAGGTCTTGATAGATCAACTGGCTTGCAGCCAAACGGTCGCGGACCTCTTCCTCCTTGAGCTGAGGAAGCTACGAACGATGATGAGTACCATTATTCCGACTAGGAAAAGTGACGACGCACCAAATACCGATACAACAAGTGAATTTTACGGACATTCTCGTCGTTGGTACGAATGCGCAAGTCGGAAACGGTGGTTATGAACTTGTGAACGTCGGCTTCGAGTTCTTCTGGAACTCCTTCCTCGGGTTCGCGAGGGGCATACATCGAGTCTGCCATTTGGGGATCAACTGGAGACGTCTGAGGGTTCATATCGTCAGTACTTGAAGGAGACTGTGGAGGAAATGCTCGTACTGGTCGAGATTGGAAAGGAGCGAATGTCTTTGGATAGAGATGCGAGAGAAACTGGAATGGGTTATCGAACCAGGACATCTTTTATAGGCGATGGCTTATTGCTGGGACAGCAAGATCTTAAAAATGGGGGAGATGGGCCCAACTGGGCCCAACGTGGTGCACGTTTTGGCACAACATGGAGAACATGGAGCGCAGCATGGCTGTGGACCGCAAAAGCATGGTTCTCTCAAAAAGAGCGAAACACTTTGGCGATCTGGATCATGTTTCCACCCTCAAAGATATGCTATTACCGTCGAGATTGCCACTTTCTTATGAAATGCAAGCATGGAGAAGGATATACCCGGACCACGGCCTCATGCAGGACTGCCAAGGTAGCCTGATCGCAGTTTCTGGAAACGAGATCTTCAGTATCCACCAAATCTTCGAGTAGGAAAAGTGCCGAAACAGAGGAAATCAAGGAACAACACGCCCTTTGTGATTCAAAAACGCTACTGTAACGACAGGAATGATTGTAAACGACGGTAACGACAGACAAGAAGTTGGATTAGGGGTTTTGCGCCGTTGAGATTGTCAAACGACATGATCAGCAGGGCAAGGGTGGAAGGAGTGAGCCTGTGCGGATGGGCAGGTGGAGCAAATTGGAGCGTCAGGAATGCCCATTGGGATGGAATGGATCACCGGGGAATGTTCTCCATGTTCAGGGATCGCTTCCAGTGCGGGCATATCAGTGAGAGAGGATGCAGAGGACACGGGTCGTCGGCGGTGACACGGCGGAAGGGTGCTGAAGAATGACTGGCCGGCCTTGTTGACGAAGCAAGACCAGCAGGAGTTGGAAATCAAAGGGGCGATAGGGGTAGGAGAGTCGTCCGACAGAGAGGGAGAAGCTGTGCGGGGTTGTTTCGACGAGGAGGACTTCTTGGGGGACATGGTGGCAGAAGGAAAGAAAGAATGAGACGAAAAGGAGAGGCGCCAGGCTTAAATATCGAGAGGAAGAAGCCGTGAAGAAGCGTGAAGAACAAAACGTGACAGCGATGAAGCTTCTGAAGCTTAAACTGTATACACCGGCTCAGGGAACACCCGTGGCTGTAGCCTGTTTCAATCATCCCCGGGAACTGCCAGAAAATCCGATTCCATCATCCCTGTGTGTTGCCAGGTCTCTGACAACACTCAAACCCCACCCGTTTCCGTGCTTCCTTGCCGCTGATCTCCGAACTCCGCTTTATCCTGCAGCTTTGATATCATCATTACGACTGATTTGGTCCGAATCATACAATTTTAACATTGTTCTCTACATTCCCTCTGCCATAAATGTTCCCTCTAATATTTCCCGCTCCTCCTCTGCTGCCCAATGACGGACAGCAGCTCCCATTGTTTTGTCCCACTCCTCTCGAAAGCGCACTATAAATTCAGTATGCAGGTACACGTTACGCAGCGCATAAGCTCGGATTCCAGCCGCCGTCGTTCCATCAACGTCTGAACGAACTTCGTCGGCTCGTTTTTGCCATTCTGAAGCCTCCCACTTCAATGATCGCATGACCCGCTTCATCTCCTCTCGCAACAATTCAACCTCCTCGTTCCAGCGTTCCTTCCGTGCACGTGCTTTTGCCCACTCGACACGCATAGCTATGATACCACGTTCAACCGAAAGCAAATGGTCAACAAGCCATAGTTACTCACAGTCATGAAGTTCAACCCCGTCGGCCTGCCCGCCTGCTGCCCAAATCCAGGAAATTGGCGCCGTCTTGGTTTTCTTCTTTTTTGCAGCAGTCTCCTCTCTCGTAGGTCGCGATCCGTCTGCTGTTCGTAAGCTTCTTGCTGCATCTTCGTCACTCTCGATTTCGATACGAGTGTTCAAATGGGCCTTGTCCAATTTTTGAAACTCGGGAGCGTAACGTTTGCCTTTGAGGTGAACGAGAGCCTCGTAGCCTTCAGTATATTTGGCAGCGGCCTTCGTTACACCTTCTTCCATCCGAGCCATTAGAGTGACGGAGCGCGTTCTTCACGTTGCCCCACCATGTTTTCCCCGGAAAACCAAATCATGTGTTGCTTCGAATGAAGCCTCCCTCGTAAGGCAGCCAGTGCATCTGCACACTGTCCCCGACGCAATTTCGCTGGTCTCAATCAAGTCCGCCATGCTGACTTGTCGACACTCTTCCGCGGTTAACTGTGACGGAAGATAAAGCTTTGTTTTCCGGTTGCGCGTCCTCCGCGTCCAATTTATACCGCGCTGCGTCGCGAAGACCCTGAACCCCAGGCATGTAAGTTAGTTGAAGTTTTTCAAGGTGCGCATTTGTTTGATCAGAGATAGACGTAATTCTTGTATCTGGCTCGCTTGATCTGCTGACTTTTTTGCCTTCAGAGCAGTCCGTATATCGACGCCTGGGGATAGTGAATAGAGTGTGTGGAATGAAGACTTTGACATACTGGATGGCCTGAAGCTGCATACCCGCTCTGATGAACGCTGTTATGGTCATTTTACCTTCCAGCAAAGGTTTGATTCCGGCTCGTGCATCTTCCACCTCAGCTCGTTTCAACTCTTCACTTATTTCGCGTTCACTAGGCCCGGCTGTCGAGACAGGTCATCAATGCTACAACAGGTATTCAACGTCATGCATACTGAGCTTCCCACCCTGGACTTCAAATGGATTCGTCTGGGTGTTATCCTTATACCAGGCATCCATCATCTTGGCCCATTCACGTCGTTTTTTTTAGGAACGCTGTCGTCCAGCTCCTGGAATTCAATGCCCTGCCTTTGACGCTCTGCTACAGCGACAATCAAACGTCTTGCAAGTGTCCGCCCTTGCAAATAGTGAGCTTAAACTCTCAAAGAAACCTTAACTGACCCATGCTCCTGTTTTTCTCAAAATTAATCAGGTCGATCTTGTCCTCCAGGACATCATGACGGGCGCCTTCTCCCATTTCCTTTGTCGACCAACTTGCGGGATTGAGTAGGCTCCACAAACGCCGGTGCTTTCCCCATCCGTCTTTCCAACACCCAACAAGTACCTAAGCGCAAACTGAATTCGACATTTGGGGTCATGAGCTTCAGCATGCCAGACCGGCAGTCCGTATTGCAGGCGAATACGGTCCACCTGGTGAATATCTCTTCGATATCCACGCCCGTTGTCTTCATTCGTGCGACGCGCTCAGGAAAGTATACTTGCCAGTGACATACGATGTCGTATGCAAGCAAGACCCACAGAACTTCCTCGTCTGACAGAGTTGATAGCACGGTCCAATCCACGTTTCCATAGCTGGCACAAAGAGTTAGTATCCAAGTTGTTCCTGGCATCAAGCAACTTGCCGTTCTCCACGTTGAAGGTCTCCCATCCCTCGACGACGTACGAGGCCGTGCCGTGCACAGACACAACCAACTACGCCAGAAACTCTCAGGCCAGTGGTCAATTTGGTCTCCTTCTGCAAAAGAGCAGCAAACGCAGCACAAGCCTGGACCTGAAGTATCGCATTAACATGGAATAGATTCGACTAGAGCGCACTGACATCTTTTTCGTCAACGAGCGTTTTGATATGTTCTTTATATGGTCCAGATCGTGACGGGTATCCCAAGCCATCGGTCAACGCCGGATCCATGCGTTCTCCAGCACGAAGCTTGTTCTTCAGGCGGAAATTGGCATCGAATGCCAACATGAGCTTATACAAGTATCTGCACATTTGTTGGTCAAGAATAGTTTGATTAAATAGCTACTCACGCCTTCGACTCCGGAACCTTGTCCCATCCGGAAGGCAAGTTACGAGAAGCATCTGGGCATGCCCAGCAACGCACAGCCAACCCCCCTGGCGGCGTAGTTACAATTCCATTGGCTTCATGCCCGCGACCTCCACGCTTCATCATTTTAAGATAGCTGTATTGTCGAGCCATTCGACCGAAAGCAACGCGACGATCTGGGACCTTTTCCAGTCCGGTTGAATCCGTCAACTTCTCCAACGTGCGCACATAGTCTTGGACATTGATGTTTGCGATGGAGCGCAGGAAGCGAAATGTCTCCAAAACGTTGAAGGTTGCACAGGTCGCAGGGTTTTGTTGTCGTGGCCGGATACCACACATTTCGAAGCAATTGTCTGACGGGGTCGAATCCGAACGGATTCACGCAGCCACAGTACTGCACGTCCAAAGTAAAAATGCCATTGACATCGATGACCACCAACGGTCGACGGTTACTGGGGAATGGGCATGGGGCACCGTCATGACCAAGTTGATAACAGCCCGCCAAACCACGAGCTCCATGCTGGATGGGTCCGGCATAAAACAAGGAGGCCTTCGTCCAGAAGTGACCCGTCCATTCCTAAACAAGCTAGGTAAACAAGTAACAAAATCGGTGAAGAAATAAATACCTGCAATTCATGGAGCGGCAATTTCTGATGAGCGGCTTCCACACAGGTCTCACAATGGAGTCCGTCCCCACATTGCTTGCAGCGAAAAAACGGAGCCCCGTCTCCTCCATATGATTGGCTTGACAATTCACACATTCTTGGCATGCGTTAGGGTTTCCGAGACCGTCTCTTCGTAGCATTTCCTCCAGAAAGAGAGCCGTCAGTGGTTGCCACATTGCCATAGGATCGTCCTAAGGGAATGAGCTTCTGTATAAAGTCGTAGTATCAACCGACCGATGCATAACGTTTTCTCTTCAATGTCGATTCTTCTTCCAGTTGAATCTCCAACGACGACACAGTATCCACCAGCTCTCTTACGTCCTCCAGTTGCGCATCTGGGAATGGCATCCAGTCAGCGAGTTCAGGTTGAGTTTCAATGACCTCTTGATTAAGGCGAGCCTTTTTTTTTAGGCGATGGATTTGTCTGCTGGCTCAGCACGCGCTGTCCATCCAGAGAATAATGAACTTGTAGGTGGTTGAATTCCTCCTCAGCGGCGTCGTCAAAATATGTGTGTCGCACAACGTTGGGGAGTCGAGGCATGCGAAAAGATGGAGGCATCAACTTGATGCGCTGTCCATTTATTTCACGACAATTATTTCTTTTGGTCCATAAGTAATTACAGGCTACTCTGCGTCAACCTTGGCTGGCGAAGTTGGGGGAAGTTCAGGTCGGGTTGATTCCTTGACCTCCCGCGTCGGGCGCTATGTGAAGATAATGGCAGTCATAGAGACTGCCCGTCTCATCGGACAAGGCCCATCCCGCAGTCCAATCCACATTTTCATAACTGTCCAAAAATGAGGATCGCATTGCTCCCATAAGCCAAGAACTTGCCGCTCTCCAAGTTGAAGGTTTCTTGGTGTTTCGTGGATCTTGTGCAGGACATGCGACTGCGGCTGGTAGATTCGCATCGTTTCAAAGAAGTTGGTCGGAAGGGGGCACCTCGCGGCGTCTGAAGTACAGTGTAAACCGTCACGGCTGGTGGATACAGCTCGCAACGTCCGAGAGTTTCGCGAAAGGGCTTTAAAGTACTGTGTAAACCGTCACGGCTGGTGGATACAGCTCATACGTCCGGAAAGTTTCGCGAAAGGGCTTTAAAGTGTGTAAACCGTCACGGCTGGTGGATACAGCTCGCCAACAGCTCGCAGTGTCAAGGAACGAACTAACAATCGGAAGGGACCGCTTCCGAGTCGTCACATCGTCATCACGAGTCGTCACATCGTCACCTATCGTCACACCTCATCAGACTTCATCGCACCAAGGTCACGATTCTGCCATTTTCTCAGTCTGGATCGTGTTGCGAAGGTACACGCTGAACACTGTTCGTTTCTCATGTCTGACAGTTGGCTGCAAGCACATTCTCACCGTGCTCAAGTTGTGCGAGCGGCGGCGACGACATTGAACACTCTCTTCCTTGTTGCTGGATACTCTCTTCCTTCCTCTCTTGTTGCTGGCTTAGACGCTAAGGCGTCGGGTCGGGCCGTTTCTCAGATCTCAAGACTAGCTCAGGCGCTAAGGCGTCGGGTAACAACCCATTCATGGCGTCATGCGAAATGTCGACGTCCGGAAATTCATTTGTGCGGCTGCTACCTCTCAGCGCTTTGATGAGGAGGAGCGACCAAAGGTAACTTAGCTCCCACCAAACCGGTACTCGGCGTTAACCTCTGTTATCAAGACCTCCCCCAAACATTATACTGGTCTTGTGCGAAATAAGCCCGCAATTTTTTTCGTGTTCAACGGCGATCGGGCTGTCATTTACTCCATCCCCAGTCAGCGGCAAGCCCCTCCCACTTCCTCGAACAAAACGCTTAACGGCGAGATGGCCAAAACGGCCTGGCTTAATATGGACCTACCTCACTTGTTATTTATGCCTCGTTTCCACATCTTGCACAATACTCTATTGAAGCCGCTGGACTTTCAGATCGGTGCAACCCCGCAAGAGGAGCTTGTTGTCCCGCATTTTCGTGGTGCGCAGCACGTTCGAGTTAGGGGTATGAAAGGTGACTTGCGTGATCAATGGCTCCGACTCGAGGGTTTTTTGCGAACGACCTTGACTTGGTTAGATCAAAATGTTATGAAAGCGCCAAAGGCTCCGACGGAACTCAAATCTAACGTTCGTCCGTGGCACTCTCTACCATCAACATTCGGGTATACACAACACTTTGACCTTGAATCCCCACAAGATCTACACAAAGCTGTCTTGCAATCTCTCCATGCTTTTCGCCCGCTGCTTGGGGCTATCACATTATTGACTCTAGTTCTCGATGACATTAAAATGCCAGGATGGCGCGAACGCTATATCAAGGAGAGTCAAGTGGATGCGGCACTGTGGGACGAACTAGAAGAAGTCGTTTTCCAGATTGCCGCGGGACCCATTGGAGGTATCTTAGACTTTTCAAGCCCAGCAGCAATCGAGAAAGCTCGGTCTCTGGATTGGCTATTCTCCATGATATTGAAGAATGACATTCGTGTACCCTTGTATTTCTTCTTGAACAGCACCGATCCCGCGTTGTTCAATGCTCTTCCCTCCATGCGATGTTACCACCTTTCTGTCCAATCAGAGCACATACAGAAAGTTCGCAATCTTA